TAAAAAAAAAAAAAAGATATTAAAAAAAAAATTACATGCCCCCATCCATCCATCTTATTTACTAGCTCTGGAACCATGTGGCTTCTGGCTTTTCCCCAAAGTCAGAATGACCAAGAAAGATAAATGTTTTTTGTTTTTGTTTTTTTTTTGGGGGGGAGCGCCTGGCTCAGCCTGCCTTAAGGGCAAGTCTGGTGTGGCATGTGGTGCTGGGGATCAAACCAGTCTCCTGTGCCTGAGTTTGCCCAAGCAGGTGCTTTAGACAACTGAGCTATTCCGCCAGCCCCAAAAATAAATGTTTTAAATCAATTCCGAGCATCAAGGGAGCTAAAGGAAACAACTAAAGGCACTCATGAAAGAGGACTTCTGCCCCCTCTCCCCCAAGCCCCTACTTAGGCAAATGCAGCGACTGGGGTTTGATCCCCAGTACCACATGCCATGCTGGGCCGGCCACCAGGCGCGCCGAGCCAGCAACTGAGTCCTGGAGTGGTGGCAGTGCAGGGAGAGCTGAGCTGTGTCCCATCACGTGGGGTCTCGAGTGGCTGATTCTGGGAACACCAAGTGTGGCCCTGGCCAGAGACTCGGGGGACACAACACGCTCCCACTCGCACTTTATTAAGTACGGAGGATTGGTTACAACGGGTGGGGATGGCGAGGAGGTACAGCCCCACCCCCACATCACTGGCACACAATAAATAAACAAACAAATAAATAAGTAGCTGGGAGTTAGGATGGAAGGTGACACAAACACTAGCTACACGGGGCCACCAAAGCCCCCCTCTGGGCTGGGGCCACCAACACTGGACAGGTAGTGATAAGGGAGGGTGAGCTCTCCGCCACAGCAGGCCCAGGGCCACTGAGCACCCTGGGCCACAATCTCCAAAGAAGAGGATGTCGCCACACTTGGCCCCTTATTTATCAACTGAAGTCAACCCTGGCTGGTCTGGTGGGACCCAGATTGTCAAGAGAAGGTCACTGTCACTCAGACTCCTGAACTGACTACTTAGCATCTGAGACCAGTGGTTCCCTATTACCTGGTGTCCAGATGGATCCACCCACCACCTAAGACATGCATGCGTCATTGTTCCTTAGCTTCTATTTGGTCCACTCAGGATGTGGCCTCAGTGAGCCACTTCCACTAGCCTCAACTGGTCCACCTGTGACAGTAATGGTGTGTGGCTCCCTTGACTTCTAATAGGCTAGGACCCAAGGGCAGGCAGGGGTCAGGAGTTCCCAGGGAGCGGAGGGGATTGAGTGCCCAGGCAGGGAAAAATCTTCAGTTGGCATCAAAACCCATATTTGGACACAGGAAACAAGGCCACCTGGCTGGGTCAGGCCAGGTTGAACCTCCAAGCTGCAGGGGCAGCTTCTGGAACGGCAGAGTGCCCAGCCACTGCTGGGAGCGGGCACGAAGGTCCTCACAACTTCCTGCTCAGCAACTCCACCAGGACAGAGAAACTGAGGCAGGGGAGCCTGCAGAGCTTAAGGAGGCTCACGACCCATCACCTCCATCTGTAGGATAGGGATCCGGAGGCCAGGTGGGCTCAGTCCTCCAGTCCCCCCATCAAATCCGCAATGCTTTCCACATAGTAATGGGGCACAAGGTCATGCTTGCCAGCCGCCAGGTAGGCCTGGGCCTCCTCCAGGCGGGACACGCCTGTGAGCGTGAGCACGGTGGTCATGCCGCAGCGGTGACCGAAGAGGATGTCGGTCTCCAGACGGTCACCCACCATGAGCATGCGGGCTGGGTCCAGGCTGAATTGCTCCGTGATGCACTCAAACATGTAGGGGCTGGGCTTGCCCACCACCAGCGCCTGGCGCCCCGAGGCCGTCTCCACCGCAGCAGCCAAGCTCCCAGTGCCTGCAGGGAGATGGGAGAGAGGAGACAGACTAGTCAGCAGGAAGGTGCTGCAACGGCATCAGCTGGAATTTCAGGGCACGCAAGGCCAGGCACTGCGAGAGCTCAAGGCCTGGTTCCAAGTCTCAGGGTAGGGGTGAAGAGGGCAGCCCCTGCCATCAGATCCCTGGTTTCAGTGACTTCTCTTTTTGTTGGCTGTATCAAGGATCAAACTCAGGACCTTGCGCATGCCAGGCAGGCACGTATGCCACTGAGCTGTCTCCCCAGTCCCTGATCCCTGGTTTCAGACTCCATTCCCACTTCCTTGGGTAGGCTGGCTAACCTCTTGCCTCAGTTTTCCACTTCTACTAGGGGGACATCTGCGGCACCTACCCCTTGTGTGTAGTGTAAGGACGCAGTGAGGCCCTGCACATTAGCAGGTGAGGCCCTCAGCGGGGTACACTCTGGCCACTGTGTGTCGTCAGGCAAGCCACTCACTCACCCTCTCTGAGTTCCCCCAGACTCTGCAAAACGGGGATTCAGCTAACAGCTATCCTCAAAGGGGCACTCTGAGCACCACAGGGGCAGGCTTTGTGAAGAGAAAAGCGCTTCACAGATAGTAGCTGTGGTTACTGTTACAGAAGCCGTGTCCTTGGCATCGAGACCTGGCACTGTCCCTCTGGAATGCAGCAGGACACAGAAACATGCACACCTCTGACCCAGTCGGCCTCCACAGTGAAAGCGCTTGCAAGAAGAGAATTCCAGCCAGACACAAGAAAGGGCCAGCTCAAGCTGTCTGTGGTGACAGTGACAATCATGAGCAGCGCCTCGATGGCGCCCAAGTGTCTATCAACGGGAGGACTGTTTGGAAGAGGACAGTCCTGTTTCCCGCCTGGTACCATCTGTCAGAACAATGAGTCCACTGTACCAGTCCCACGGGCACAACTCTGTTCCTGAATGCCCTGCCTGCACCCCTACATCCCTGGCTAGACCACAGTGATGCGCAACACCAATTACTAAGCCACTCTAAACACCCAGGGGTTGTGGCAGGTGCTCACAGAAGCCCGTTTTACAGATGAGAAAGCCGAGGCTCAGTGTCATTACACAGTCTACCCTGGGCTGGCTGTTAAAGAGCAGCAAACGGATTTGCATCCAACACTGGGCATGGTGGGACATTCTGTAATCCCAGCATTCAGAAGGCTGAGGCAGACGGTGGGGAATCTGAGGCTGACCTGGTTAACATAGTGATACCCAGTCTCAAAAAAAAAAAAAAGAAAAAGAAAAGAAAAGAGGGCTAGTGAGATGGCTCAGTGGTCTAAAGCACCTACTTAGAACAAGCTTAGCAAAGCACAGGTTCAATCCCCCAGCACCACATGCCAGCCAGCCCTGCCCCCTGGTGGGCTGAGCTGGCTGCGCCCACGCACAGACACACAGACACACACACACAAATAAATAAGATTAAAAAAAAGAAAAGCAGAATTTAGGTCAATGTGACTCAGCTGTGGGTTGGGCAGGCTAGGGAGTGTGGACTTTCATTTTCAGGAATTTTGCAAGCTGAGGGCCAGGGAGATAGCTCAGTAAAATAAACATCTGCCTGGCAAGTACAAGGTCCTGAGTTCAAACCCCAGTACCACAAAAAAAAAAAAAAAAAAAAAAGGAATTTTACAAGCTAGTTTTTGTTTTGAAAAATGCTCTATGTTTTCGGTTTTTTTCATAGTTCTCACTCTGAGTTTTGGCTGGCCTTGAACTCACATTATTGAACTCATGTTAATCCTCCTGCCTCAGCCTCCTTAGGATTGCATGTTGCCCCAACTGCACCTAAGGCTGCTAAAGGGAGCTACTAAAGTCAATGTGGATATTTACAATTAAACAAAGGCAACAGATACTTAACACTCAGGACTTCCTAGTTCCTAAGTTTTTCTTTTTTTGTTTTTTTTTGTACTGGGAATCAAACTCAGTACCTTACCCTTGCCAGATAGGTGCTGTGCTGCTGCACCCCTAGGCCCTAGGACTTCCTAATTCCTGTACCAAATTGTACCGTCTTCTGTAGGTCGTTTACACCTGCGAGGGCGGAAGTGCATCCAGCCGCCCAGCCAGCAGCGGGACAGCTCCTACTCATACCATTCAGGGCGCCACGAGCGGACCCTAGCACTCCGAGAACTCCTCTCCCCCTTCTCCCTGCCAGTGATGCTCTGCTCGCAAAGCCAAAAGCGCAGAAAGGGAGGATGAATGGGGACAGCGAGGATCCCTGTGGCCCTGACCAGAAGGAATTTCCCCAGTGCCACAGGGCCTGCGCTCCTCAGGCCACCACACTCGCCCTGCTGTGCGCTCCACGATCGATCGCTGGCCGCAGCCCTCACCAGGCACTGAGTGGTGAGGTCAGGCCTTCGCACTCTCGATAAAGGCTCTAGTACGTAGTCGGCTACATCCCCAGCTGCCCCCGGCTTTTCACACAATTCTAGCTTGCGATAAGGCCTCACTGAGTTGCCAAGACTGACCTCTATTTACCATCCTCTGGCCTTGGCCTCCTAAATAGCTAAGATTACAGCCCTGCACCACCACGTGTTTTTGTTTTTTCTCTGTTGATCTGTATGAGGAACCAACCCAGGGCCTCTGCATTGAGTTCCATCCTGGGCTTTTTATTTCTGGAGACAGAGTCTTGCTAAATTCCCCTGGAAGGCTTCAATTTGTGATTCTCCTCCCACAGCCTCCTAGAGTGCCGGGATTACAGGCGTGAGGTCACCATGCCTGGCACCATCTGAGCTGGGAACTGAACCTAGGGCCATCCACAGGCGAGCTGTGCCTCTAAGCCACACTATCTGCTTGGTTGCTTAAGAATCCTGTAAGGAAAGAACCATCTACCCCCTGGTTATAGTCTTTCTAGAATGGGACAGTACCCAAAAATGTTTTTCTCAGCTTCCCAGTGGCCCCAGCTCTGTTAACCCAGCAGGAAGGAGCTGATCACTCTCCAGTTTCTGGTCTCCACGTTTCTATTTCTTCATTCAGCTGCGATTTACCAAGGCCCAACTATACACTAGACTTGGGGGCAGAGCAACCAGGGCAGTGAAGGGACCTGGGAAGCCCACAAACTCCCCGCTGAGCCCGAGGCCAGGGCATGGTACGCCGCTAACACAGTCCTAAGACAGGGACATCTCTACTCCCCAGCTCAAGGGGCTGCTGTGTGACATGAGATAAACACACAGTTCGGGAGGGAAGGGTGAGCCAGCAGATTCGCATTCTTTCTGCCCTAATGCTGTCTTTGTGAATATTTTCGTAGCACGGTTTTAAAGCCATTGCCGAGTCCTGCACAAATGCTCCTGTGCCCACAGTATGGCATTCCAAGCGTCTGCCTCCCTCTCCTGGCTGTGGACTGACTGGCAGGGTAGGAGGCAAAGCTGAGTGGAGACCAGGACTGTGGGGTCCAAGTCCAAACAGATCGCTAATTCTGAGCCCAGAGGAACCTCTTACTTTACAGCCTTAAGCCAAGCTTTGAGATCTTCGCAGAAAAACTTCCTTTATACAATCCACCATTTTTTGTTTTGTTTTGTTTTATGAGACAGGGTCTTGCTATGTAGCCCAGGCTGGCCTCGAACTCATGGTGATCCTCCTGCCTGAGCCTCCCCAGGGCTGGGATTACAGCACTACGGCCATAGAGAATAGACCTGAGCAGAGCCCTACCCTTTCATTTATGGGGAAACTGAGGATGGTGTGGTCAGGGGGTGAGTAGGTCTAAAGTAGAGATAGGACGGGCCCTTCCCTGCCACTGTTAAAACCATGTCTATGACGCCTTGCTCACTGTCACCCTGCCCTGCACCTTGTCCAGAAGCTCTCCCAGGACCCCTGGACAGGGGGTCCTCCTCACCACCCTTCACCATCTTGGGTCTGCTTCACCACACTCCATCCCACCCCTCCCCCCCATATGGTAGCAATAACTGAGTCGCGGCCAGCAGAGAACTGACATGGATCTGTTTGTCCCTGCTCCTTGCACTAATCACTGCCTGTTCTGCTGTCTCTGCTCTTATCTCACTTGAGCCCGGCCACCTCTGCAGGGCTGCAAAGTAATTTGCTTATTGAGACAAAGGTCTCACTATGTCATGCAGGATGGTCTTGAATTCACTACATGGCCCAAGCTGGCCTTGAAGTGCTATGGATCCTCCAGCCTCAGCCTCCTGAACATTGGTATTACAGGTGTACTCCTCTATGCCTGGCTCTCATCTGCAGTAACTTGAAAATGAAGTTAAGAATGGACGTCAAGCATTTGGGAGGCTGAAAACAGGAGGATCACTATTAAGTCCAATTTGTGTAGTGAGACCCTATAGAGCTTGTACTAAACACATTTAAAAAACAAACAAAAAAGAACAGACGTCAAGGTGCTTCATGAAAATCTGGGAGGACTCCATCCATTCACACAGCTCAACACCCACTGTGTCAGGCAGTTCCTGGCCACTGTCCTTTCCGCGGGGCTGGCTGGTGAGCATCCCAGGAGCACCCGCCTGCAGGTTATGTAATCCAAGTGCTGCCCGCAAGAAGCTGGAAGTGGAACGCAGGTCACTCTCCACCTGCCCACTCTCCACACACCTGTCCCTCGAGCTCTACAACACAGGTGCTGCCCTCACACAGAAGGCGGTCCCTCCAGGCTCCTCCTGCACCATCCCCTGGTGGGCGGGGCAAAATATCAGGCGTGCAGGAGGAGACCTGTATTTTACCTGCTAACTACCCCCAGACCTACAAGTGGCCTGTTTACTCATATGTCAAACGTGGACTCGCAGCTGTCCCTCACAAGTGACGGCCGCAGCAATGAGGACACGTGACGGTGTCCCTCGCATCTCTCCGGACCCCACTCCACCCCTGCCCTTCAGTGATGGCGACCGCGCTGGTACCCCCGCCTCACCCCTCCCAGTCCGCGCTCACCGGGGGTCCGGCTGCCGTCGCTGAGCGGGTGCCAAGGGTCGCGGTCGGTGGCCACGAGAAGGCAGTCGGGGTCCCGCAGGTGCGCGCAAGCCTCGCTCAGCCTGGCGAAGGAGAAGTGCTCGTCGTAGCCTACGAGCACGGCGCGCACGCGCGGGGCGACACCAGGGTCCCCCGCCAGCAGCAGCCCTGCGGCACGCAACTCGGCGCGCAGCCCCTCGCCGCCCAGCACGAACACGGCGCCCTGCGCGTCAGGAGGCCCCGGCAGGCGCTGGCGCAGCAAGTGCGCGGCGCACAGCGCAGAGCTGAAGAGCTGTTCGGCGCGCAGCCCCCCGAAGCCCAGGCGCGCGAAGCGCTGCGCCAGCTCGGGCCGCGCGCGCCGGCTGTTGTTGCTCACGAACAGCGCCTGCTTGCCCGCCCGCGCCAGCCGCTCCACCAGCTCCGCAGCGCCAGGCACTACGCGCTCGCCGTTCCACAGCACCCCGTCGCAGTCGAACAGGACGCCCTGCGCGCGGCCCAGGAGGTCGCGCAGGGCCGCGCCACGCAGCGGCTCGCAGAGCGCCATGCAGCCGGCCGGCCGCCAGCACTCCCGCTCCGCTCGCTCTCCGCGCGCACGGCGCGCTCGCTCGGGCCCGTTCTGCAGGGCCAATCGGTGCTTCGTAACGGGCAGGGGGCGGAGCCACGGTCTGGACGTCGGCCAATGGGGGAGGAGAGACTAGAAGAAGAACCGAGCGGTGAGCAAAAGGAGCTTGGAGCAAGGGGCAGGAATCGCGGCTGTGGGCGGAGATCAATGAATGACCAATCTCCTTTAGCCCCGCCCCTTAGCCTACTGGGCCAATCGCCGCCAAGTTCCAGCTCCGACTACCTTCTTGCAGGGGTGGGAGGCTGGAAGACTGACATGCTTTGTAGCTAATAAGGAGCTATGAATAGGAAATACGAGTAGCTAGCCTCGCGCCCTCCAGCCAGTCAGACGCTTAGGAGAGGTAGTTGCTAGGAGAAAAACACAGGTCTTCGGGTTAACTTTGTTTTTTAAATTTATTATTCTAATTTGTGGCTGTACATGTTTGCAGTACATTATGATGACATTAATCGCAGGGAACTGGTTCATGTGCATAACACATTTGAACCCTGTTTACTTCCTGTTCCCCTCCCTTGGGGGGCTCATCGCACGGCCTTTGAACTACGCAGGCTCCAATTCTGAGCCAAGTGTGGGCGTTGTGTCCCCTGGTCTGCTAGTGGCTCTGCACGCTGCGTGCGCGGCAGAGTCCCCAGGGGGAGTTATGTTTGAGATAATTCACGTACTGTAATGTGTGCAGCTATTCAGCGTACAGTTCGATGACTTGACTAATGCATTTTTAGGACCCGGATGCATACTGGGCCCTGAAGAGTCTGATCGAATATTTTGGATGGGGTCTGGAGCGTTTTGAGGTTGCCTAGACCAGTCCCCGAAGGGCAGTGATGGGGTGACCCAGATGTCTGAGTCCCCATTTTGGGGAAATGTGGAGGAAACTGCAGGTCTTAGAACCTTTAAGAAGTCAGGACTTTAAATTGTGGGGACCCGTACTGAATCTCAGAGAATGCTCTGCAGAAGTCTGGCTGCTTCTGCCCAGCAGTTGAACCCCAAAGGCGGGGGTGGGGTGGGGTGCGGTGGGAGGTGGGGGGCTGGAGGGTAGGGCGTACCTTGTAACCCTCTCTTTGAGGCTCTAACACTTTCCCAGTACCCCATGCCTTTTGTTCCTGACCTTTGTCTCCTTGGCCTGAAATGTTTCTGCTTTTTCATTTACCTTTTTTTTTTTTTTTTTTTTTTT